GTGGTCACTGCCCGTCACCGCTTGCCTTCTCCAGCGCTGGGACAGCGCCGCGGCTGCGGTGTGAGGGGAGCTGTGCAGGGGCGTTCCCCAGAGCTTGCTCCGCTGTATGATGTATTCAGCGAGGCACGGCACCGTTCACTTGTACAGAACACATCACTCCCAGCACAACTGCACCGGCAGCTGAGGTCCGGTCACTGAGGTGCCCGTGCTCCGTCGTTCCCTTGGCACGCCAGCCCTGTTTAAGTGAGAGCTTCAGTGTCTGAGTAAGAAACAGGAGCTTAATCACCTTCATGGATCCAGCCTCAGGAAACGAACCAATTCACGCTCCTCTTTTGCCAGCGCACACACACTCGCGTTTCTGAGTGTGTTTTTTTTCGGGGTTGGCTGTGCCATTGCGCTCTCCCGGCCAAGCGCTGTTGCCAGTGATGATGTTAGCCAAGCTCTGCCGAGAACACCGTATGAGAGGCTAAGGCTGGGGGGCCCTGTGGCCACATCTGACAGATGGCTACTGTTTAAATAGCTCCAAGAATATCCTTATGTCTCCTGATAAACTGCAGGGAATTGTTGTGAACACAAAAACTAATGTGTTTCCAGGTAATTAAAAATCTGAAATACTATGTATTTCTTTCCAGGAACTTCCGCTGTGACTGTGGAAATAGCAAGTTCAAAAATCTGCAGTGCAAATTATTCCCAGTAAGTTCAGACATAGGTTTCCTACATATAGAATCAAAATAGCAGTCTTGGGAGGCTGGTGCCTTGCCTCATCCAGTGCTGACTCATGTGATGCCTCTGCTTTTCTGAGCATGTTAAACAAGGTGGGAGTATTACAGCAGGAGATAAAACTGCTGAGGGACTGAAGGGAAACGTTGAGAGGAGAGAGGATGTTTGATCCTTGTCATCCATGAATGCTGCAGTTCTGCATCCATGGTCAGTGTAATGCCAGAGATGTGTTGTGGTGCCTGATGAGAATCAGCTTTAAGCTGGCTTCTGGAGAACCTTCTAGGGTATGATTTTGCAGTTGAATTAAGGAAATTTAAGGTTGTGTTGCTGTCCAAGGGATAGTTCCCTCCCCTTATTCCTGGTGGCATTAGTGCCCTAATCTTTTTTGATAGGTTGTCACCAGAGCCTACTCATAGGATAGTTTTTTACTCTATTAAGCCGCCTGTGCTTTCATAACTCAGTGGGCATTTTGGACTCATCAAGCGGTTGGTAATCTTCTGGAAAGCAGTGACAGGAAGCTGCTTGGCTTGCCTGCAGTGCTGTTCCCAGGGTAATAACACTCCAAATATAGAAATGGCAAGTAGTTTTGTGTACGCCTATTTTGTTCTGGCAGAATTGGGATGGATCCAGAGCTAGTCAGCCTAGGGCTACTGTCCTGTGATCCCTACAGAGACACCTGTGGCAGTTTTAAGATGTTACTGTTTCTCATTTGAGTCAATGAAATGGATCACATGGTTCTCATCCTCCAGTTCAGTGCAAAATCAATTGCACAGGTTAAGCAACCTTCAATAGCCATCCATTAATCTGGCTGACTTCGTGGATGCTGGGTGCTCGCATCGTCCGTTCTTCCTTTGTGGTGGAAAGCGTTTTGTAGTAACATCATAAACGGTCACAGCTGTTTCTGTATGGGCCAGTGGTGGCCTTGGGCTGCAACTACGTGCAGTTCTGAAGCCTTCTGGTTGCAGCTGTATTAGCTGATTTTTTTAAAATGGAATTACCTGTAATTTAATTTCATTCAGCATGTTTTGTAATTTGGATAATCCTCTTCTGTCGAGTGAGGCTTATATGTCATGAATTTAGTGGAAGCTGAGTGGTAAGATTAAACAAAGTTGTGTTTGGATCACAGTCTGGATGCTTAAAAAAATGGAGGGGAAGGTGCACAATAAATCCACAGACATTGCTGTAATGGCAGCAGGCAGGCATTGGTGATCAAAACTCTTGCATCATTTTAGATTAGCAGTAGCTTAACAAACACCACAGTTACCATTTGTTGCAAAGGTAGAAAGACTGTTTTTCCTTTTGAACTTCAGTATTCCTCAAATGTCCTACCTGACACTCACTGTATAGCATAGGTGTCTGGCTAATATCTTTATTTTTGGATCTTCAAGCTGATGAGTACAATGATTGCTTTTAGGAATTAAACTGGAACAGGAATTGTGTTTTTTCTAGACTATGCATCTTTTCTGTCTTTTGTTTTTCACTGCATTGTCTATTGATACATCTTTTCCTTTCCTCCTAGGAAAAGAGCAAGGTGAATTCAGGAAATAAGTATAACGACAATTTCTATGGATTATACTGTACTTGTAAAAGACCTTATCCTGATCCTGAAGATGAGGTAAGAAATGCAAAAACCAGTAGTAATAATATATAGATGGTATTTATGCAAAATATTATGCAAAGGATGTTTGCTGAGCTGATTTACAGGGAAGATCCCTCTTTAAGAAATGCTATGTTCCGTATCACTTTTCATCGTCATGTGCTGTATAAAGTTATTACTCTATCATTTTTTTTTAAATGGTAGAATATGTTTACGCCTTAAAGACAGATGAGGAAGACAAACAATCATTTGAACAAAACACTGCTGCAGTCTTCTGTGCTTTCCTCTCTCTAAAGTTACAGAGTTTCCTTAAGGGGGTGGGTTTCTCATCATCTAGAGAAAAGTGGCAAGCGCAGAGTAAACACATTACACCTATTAGGAGAGACCAGAATCTGCTTCCTTGTGCCTGCAACAGCGCTCTGACAAGGCTTCTGGGCTGGGGAGAGTCTGTCCTGTAACAGTGGCTTTAGCTTACCTTTATCATTGTTGGAACGCTTTTTCTCTGTCTGAAGTATTAAAATACAGCACTTGGTTTACACACATGCACTTTTGTTTGCAGTCATAGAAGTCAGGTGTTGTAAAGAATAAGGAGCACCCAACTCTTTCAAATACAAAAAAGTATTTTATAAACTCACCTCTCTGAAGTTCAGAGATATCTGAACATTTCTAAAGAAATCATTATTAACTGTTTGCAAACAAAGCAGTTTGTTCTATACTGTATTGTGGACAGTTAAGTTCAGATTCTGGCATTCCTATATAAACCTGATGATGTCATGAATATATCTTTCTTTTGCTAAGCTGCCTGTTCATCCATTTCTGTTTACTGGAAGGAAGATACCAATAGGGTATTCACTTTTATCAGCTCTTTTGTGTGAGAATGTCTTGCTCTACTGGGAAAACTAGTTTTGTAATAATAAATGGGAATTTCCACAGTTTTGATAATATGACAAATTATGTATGCTGTTGAACTTCAGGGAAGCAAACTGACTAATGAAGCAGTAATTACTTATTAATGGCAGCTCTCTGGGGGTGGGTGAAGAGGAAAATGCAATTCACTTGAGCAGACTTTGCATAATACTGCAGTTTGTTGAAGGTTCTGGAGGTTGCTATTAATGCTAATAATATGATCATTCATCTAGATTCCAGATGAGATGATCCAATGCATAGTTTGTGAAGACTGGTTCCATGGAAGGGTAAGGAAACTTAAGTAGCAGAATTGCTATTTGCTTGAAAATAAGTTGGTATCAATTAAGTTTATATGGTTAATCTTAGTTAGGAAGGCTTGCTGTAGTTCTTAAAAGATGATTACATGAGTTCTAAGGTATTTCTTTTCATCCTGTGCAAAGGAATATTGAAAGTTTAATCTTGTGTTGCTGTCCAGTCCAAAGAATCAGCAAAGAGTTCTACCTTTTTGAAGCTTAGTGCTGCAGAATAAAATAATAACTTTGTCTCTTTCATTGGAAAATTCTAATCACTGGAATCTGTGAGAAGCACATTCTTACTGAGGCACATCATTGTCAACTACCTGAATAGTTCTTCATTCAAAATAATGCTTTTTAAACTGTAATTACTTCAAATCGCAAGGAACAAACTGTGCTGTTGGTTCCTGATTACGAGCTTTTGGGAAATCTTTTAAAAGCAGCTCAGCACTTCAGCGAGTGCCCTACTTAACGTGTAAGCATTAAGAATTCAGCCTCTTGTGCCTTGAAGGGCAGGAGTGAAATTCCATGTTTGAAGTTGCAGGATCAGAGGATTAAAAAAAAGATGACTGGCTTCGATTATGGGTTCTGTAGATAAACGACAGGATTCTTTTGTAATAAATGTATGTATTAGGAATGTTATGCTGCATACTGTGAGCTTTGCAAGAACACATTTCAAAAGAAAGCCGGTAAGTGCTTTTAATTGCCTAAATAGTTCTCACCAGTTTATGGAGAGCTTTGGGACCTAATTCTTCTCAAGTTCAATATGAAGACTTACAATCTCTTACATGTAAGGAAGTAATCATAAGTTACTTAAGAGTTTAAATGTGCAGTGTGCAATAGGTATCTTCACCTGTCCTATGTTTAGGACAGTTTAGAAGAATAACGTTTAGAAATTAGATAAAGATTGGACTGAGATTTCTGGGTATGTAGAAGGCATAAAAGGCTGTAGACAAAGAAAGAGTTATTTCAGTTTTTCCCTGAAATTCTTATCAGCTCTTTCCAGCCTTCAAGTTATACCTATAATTATTGTAGAAGGTTAGCAGGAGTGTATGCTTGTGCTGAAAATAGGATGGCAGTTGATGTTTTACTTCCTTTAAACTTAGAATTGAGTCTGTTAATTTGCAGCAAACTTTTCACTGCTGTGTGCTTGTTTGTTTTTGATAGCATCTTGGTGCAATCCCCCCTGAAAGTGGAGACTTCCATGAAATGGTATGCCAGGCCTGCATGAATCACTGCCATTTCCTTTGGGCCTATGCATCGCAATTAGCAGGTAAAGAAAATTAAGTTATCTGAGTCAATAATACATTAGCATGTATTTCTCATACTTGGTTGATTAACAACATAATACTGTTTAAGCGGTTGGAGAAATGACATTCATTATATTGGACAATTGCCTTCAGCAGTGGATAGTGCGAGGATGCAGTAACTGTTCTGTAAAAAAAATGTGGTCCTCATTCCTAAATCTTAATTCTGTGGTGCTCACACTTCTATTTATTTTATCAAAGATGAGTTAGCACACAGATGGATGAAGATTTAATACTTGTCTTAAGCAACTTAATTTCTAAACTGGATCAAAGAACTAAAGAGCCATCCTAGGGGAAGCAGTGAGGCAAACAGCTGAGTCTAAGAGGCTCTGAGCAGCAAAGAGTGATTGATAGAGTGACCTGAAATGAATGTGTAAAACTTTACTCTGAGTAGAGCTGAGGCTGTGCTCGCACATTCCCTGTGGTCACACCAGGCCTCTGTCTGCTGTGTGGTCTCTGTGGGATCAGAAGGCTAGATGACTTGATTTCTGTGGAAAGAGCTAGTTTCACATAGTCTCCTAAATGTTGCTTATATGAACTGGTGATTGATCTCTATGTGCCAGGAATTTCAATGGTCATTTTAAGGATTCCAGGCTGCTCTACCTGGAGTTCTCGTCCTTCTAATGTAAATGCAGTACAGAATGGGTTTTTTTGGTTGGTTTTTTTTTTCCTCCTGCTAACCAGCTATGTCACAGGGCACGCATTTGAATTGGCATCAAAAGAAAAAACTTGTTTTAAATAAGGAAGTGGTTAGTGTAGTTAATCTGTCACTGAGATTTTAGTGTGCATGTCTGGAGCGAATGAAGGACTCCAACACAAAGTCGGAAAAAAGGTATTTGCTGAACCTGCTGTAGTTATCAAGAGGTGTCAAGAAGGACAAGCCTCTTGGTACAGAACTACCTGAAATTGTGATGCCCTTTTTCTCCTGGGGCTTAGGTTTTGGGAAGCAGAGTATTTAGGAGTGTGAGAGGTGAAGAACACTACGGTGAAAGAGGGAGTGGTTTCTTTGTATACCTAGGTGACAGTGTCTTTGGACAGCTGTAGAATATATTGAGGATCCTGCAGTGTACAAGGTGATCTAGGTGCTCTTTGACACTGCACTGTAAAGCAGAGAGAACGTGTGTGGTAGCCTGTACGTTGTCTGGCGTGGTATTTTCACTTCCGTGGGTATGTATCTTCCAGTTCCTCCTTTGACCAAAGTGAACTCCCTTGAAGAGGAGGGGATTGTCCTGAAGGTTGAGGAAAGTGAAGAGCAGAAAAAAGAAATAAAAAAAGAAACTGGAGTGGAACACCAAGAAGAGAAGGAAGAAAAGCCAATGGAACAGTTTAATGAACCATCCACTAGCTCTGGGTCCGCTTGTCCAGAGGTAAAACGGACCTTCTTTTCTGTCCTGTACATCTTCGTACTGACGATAGGTGAAGTGTAGGTTCAGTCTGTTTCAGTGTTCCTCTTCAGTCACCGACACTTCAAACATGCAGTCTCTGGAGCACAGTGTAGGCTGGGGACATGCTTGTAGAAGTGCGTGACGAGGGTGTAACATCTGTTTGCAGCTGGGTTAGATCCATCCCTTCATGCCAGCCGCCTGCCCTTACACTGGGGTAACTTCAACTTCTGAGTTTGTTCTAATACAGGGCTGTTATGCATTGTAGCTGTATTTGCATGATAGTACAGCTCTGATTTCTTAAACATTTATGGTTATTGCAGTAAATTTCTACTGAAATTTCCAGTGGAAATTGCTAAAACCACTTCAGAATCCTTGTGTGGATGAAATGGTAATACAGGTTGTTTATAAAAATAACTGTGTCTGAAACAAAAGAAAAATCTTGCATACAGAAAATAACATACTGGAAAGAACAGAGTGTATTTGAAGTGACAGTTCTAGAGCACTGAACACTCTCATTTTAATTCAGGTAGTTACTAAGAATGAGGAGCCAGTCTGCAAGCTGAAAGAACTCCAGAGCAAGCAATTTTTAAAAAAAGATACTGCCACCTTTTGGCCATCGAACTGGAGAAGCAAATTATGCACCTGTGAAGACTGTTTGGTCTGTATTCTCTCTCCATTATCATCATGAACGTGGGGGAGGCAGGGAGGAGCTCCCAGAGTATCTTTGAAGAGAAGCTTGTAGATAAAAGCTATGTAAATGTACTTTCTCTGCATATAAACACCTAAAACCTCCTCCACCCCACATAAAGAAACACACTGCATCCTTTGGAATTAGTAGAGCACAAGAGCTTCTAAACGTGTGTATTTGCTTTGCTGCTTCAATTCAGTATTGCTTTAGAAGTTGTCATGGATGGGGAGATGTCTGAAATCCTGGATGCAAAATTTACATTATTATTTTTATTGTTATGATTTGTGATACTGAACACAAAAAGGATTGAGGGAGAGCATCTCCATCTGAGAAGTTTCATAACATAAATTTTACTTTATTCTCCAGAAAATGTATTCAGAGCTTGAAGTCCAGTTCCTGACAGATGAATGTGACACTGTCCTGGCTTACGAAAATAAAGGTACCAGCGACCAGGAAACAGAGAGGAGAGATCCTTTAATGGACACCCTTAACAGCATGAACAGAGTCCAGCAAGTAGAACTCATCTGTGGTAAATACAACTTCATTTTTAGTGTCTGCCTTAACAGACAGTATCAGGTCTTTCCCATAAGAGATTAGTATCAGGTGCAGTGCAGTGTCAGACTGTTTTTAAAGTAACATGCAGAAGACTGTACGATAGGTCGCACACCTCAGTCCGGATTACGCTAGAGAAGTTTGTCCTCTCTGGCCTGTTGTTAAGACTTTAACTTACATCGAGCAACTAGATGGTGTGGGAACTTTTTAACGTCGTAGATATTGTATTGATGGTAATTTCTTGTAAGACAAATATTTAAACATTAATTTACACTTCTGCTGTCTGGCTTATTTATCTTACGCTGCTCTGTTTGGCAATCTCCTGTTTGGGGGAGTGCCCACCGACGTGAAGGTGGGGCGCAGGGTGCTCCCTGGCGGCTCTGCCACAGCGTATATTGACAAGGCAGCGCTGAGGTGTGTTACAGCTGGAGCCGTGTTCCCCTTTTCTGAGCGAGGGCGTTGCACTTGGGTGAGGACACTTGCCCAATCCTGAGTTACAGGCTGGGACTTCCCCCCCACTACCCACGCGTACTTCTGCAGTGGGAAGATGGGGGCAGGTGTGGTCTTTTAATTAGTTCTACTAATTCACCCAATGAACTTTTATACATTTCTCTGAAGATCACCTGAACAGATGCTCAGACTGCCTAGGCTAGTCTGATGAAGTATTGGGCTTCTCTTGTTTACCTGGACCTGCCTTTCTTCTTATTATTTTTTATAATCCTTTCCAAACCTAGATTTGTCCCAAGTAAATCTAACGAATGACAAGAGGAAGTAGAACAATTTGTCATCTTGAGCCAGTGTTAAACTAAAGATGGATATCTTGTTTGTTTGTTTGTTTGTTTTCTTTCCCATGCCTTCACTTCTCCATCCAGAATACAATGATTTAAAGACAGAACTGACTGACTATCTCAGGAGATTTGCAGATGAGGGAACGGTAAGGTACAACTCCCAGAATTTGTTTACCCGAAAATGTGCTTTAATGGATGGGTATTGAACACTATGATGCTGTGCTACAATATTTTTTTTCCCCTGTCCCTTGGAGTTTCTTGGTAGTGCAGTGGAAATTAGAAATCCCTGATTTTATTGGAATTTAAAAGTTGTATTTCCTTAATTACATTGTTGAGAAATAACAGGAACCTTATAGAAATCTGTCTATAAAGTAGTAAGAGCAGTTCTTAAGTGAAACTTTTGTTGCTCTGGGAAAAGTATTCAGGAAAAAAGGCCTTAACCTTTATGGTTTTTCTTAGATTGAATTTAAACCCGTAGAAGAATAAGGACTAAATATTGGCAAACAATCTTTTCTGGAGCAATTTGCATGCTATTATTAATCAGCACATGCATTTTGTTGGCTTGTTTGCTAAATTGCCATTCTTAGCTATATTGTAATGACTCTGAAGTGAGCTAGTGAAAATCTTGCTTTGCGTTAATTTTTCTGATGATAAAAGCAAGTGGCCAAACCTGTTAAAAAAAACCATCAGGAGCTTTGCTCCGTGTGCTTGTTCTGCCTTTGGGGAGCTAATTTTTCTGCTTGTATTGTCTTATAATAGAATTTGGGCAGGAAGCTGTTTTGCTAACTGTATCAGAGAGATATCAGGATACTTGCTTTTACATGTTTTCTGTATGACATGGGGGATGGACACAAGAAAAAAAAAAAAAAGGATCATCTAATTGAATTCTTGTACCACAACTTGTGTTTCATATGGCTTCCCCTAGGTGGTTAAAAGAGAAGACATCCAGCACTTCTTTGAAGAGTTTCAGTCACGGAAAAGGCAACGGACTAACAGGGTGCAGTACTACTGTAGTTAGACTGAGAGGGTTTGGGTCTGAAAGGACAACTGTGGAAACAATATACATTGACAAACAGAAGAGGCATCTTCAGTATTTGGCTTCTCATCAAAATCCAGCTGTCCAAGAAACATCTTCGTTTTGTCTCATATTTCCTTTATTTGTAGCAACTAGAACATGTCCTTAGCAGGTACATTGCAGTTACAAGGATTTCAGTACTGATGTGAGAGCTGGCCTTGGCTCAGGGGGAGGAGGGCCCCTTCCCAGAACAGGGTGTTGCTGTGCCTTCCCTGGAGCCTTTCCCCTATGTTCCTGTCAGTGCCTACAGCTGTTCCTGTGCTGAAACCCAGGTGAGCTCTGCCCGCCCTCCCTTCTGCGCAGTGCAGGGAATACACCCTTCATGTGCTTTGCTGGACTGGAGCAGCTTTATTCCTGCTTGAAATGGCTCTGCATCATGTCTTCGGGGTGTAGCGATTCTAGTGAAGGCTCCCTACACAAAATAAGTTTCTATTTACCACACAGAGGGAGGCACGGCTCCTGAAAGGATAAAGCAGGTGCGCGTTGTGGTCACGGCTCCTGGGGGAAACCGCATTCTAAGGTTTGGGTCACATCAGGTGAACTAAACAGCACTGTACTTCTGCATGCTCGCGCTCTACTGCAGAAGTGCTCCTGAGGCAGGTGAAAATGAGAAATCATAGGGTAGGCTTGATTCAACAGAATGTTGTATCTGTTTTTATAAATTCAAAAACTTTGTTTCTAATATTGTACAGTGATCTACATGCAAAAATTTATCATGTGAAATTTATCCACTGACTAGAATATAAACAGTATCTAGGAGGAGGTACTAAATTACAAATTAAGCATCACCGTGGGGTTTGTTATAGGACTTCTAATGTGCTTTGATGTTAAAAGCTAGCTACTGCAAATTATTCTACTTCATAAATGTTCCTGAAAACACTGCAGCATCCTGGCATTTTGCTACGGTATAAAATGTGCTATCTTTTTATAATCACTGTGATAATAATGGAACAGGAGATGTTTCATGGACTTTTAAGAATCTACACTTAGCTAAAATTAAATATTGACTTTTCGTAAGTTTGGAGCCTAGTGTAGTTTTTTAGTTTTCTTTACCCTCAAACCCCTAAACATACTTTAAGAAAATTCTAATTTTTAACTCCCGCTTGACGTAGTCGGAGGATTTCTTTACCATGGGGTACTATTCTGCTTCCACATTAATGACTTTTGAGAAGAAAATCAGATCTTTATCTGTCATTCTCCCTCTTGTTTCTGACCACTTTATTTACAAAAGCTAGTTCTAGCATAGAGGCTCAGTTCATCGGTTTGTTTCATACAAAATGACTAGTTGCTTTTAAATTTAAGTCTGGGTAGTGTATGTGCTTTTTTTGTAGCAACTGTTACAGGAGTTGTAACTGCATATCTAACTAAAATGCCTAAAAATTAAAGAACTGCTCAATCTGTACTGTTTTTGTTTTTTGGAATGCTGCTGGAGTGGTTTGTTTCCATCCAAGATGCACTCACAGGGCAGCGCAGTTAGCATTGGGCCGGGCCAAGCCAAACCCGGTATTGCTCGACCTTTGCCTCCACCCTGACCCACACTGTTGCAGGCAGGTAGAAACGAGGGCTGGCATCTCATCTGCAAGGGTAGTTTAAGCAGGAAAAGCCCAACCAGATGGATGATGTTTCCTCTGTACTGCATTTCATGGCATGTAATTCCCTAAAGGGGTTGGGGAGAAGGTGCCTGGAGGCAAATGCTGTCCCAGGTTCCAGCCCCAAGTTCAAACCACCCTGAATGGAAACCCTGGATTTTCTAGGTTGTGCTGTCCTCTCCCAGTATATAAATACTACAGCGGGGCTCTGCCCAGCACTCTCTGTGCTCGAGAACTGACAGCAGTGTTCCACAGAGGGAGGGGTTCATCTGCAGGAAGTTTTCTGAACCAGGTACATAATTTCCACAAAAAGGAAAAATTACAGTTCTGATTTCACACCGCAGGGCCATCACTGACAACATGCAACATTCATTTGTGGCATGAGCCAGTACTACAGTCATGGAGCAGGGCTTACCCTGAAGTGATCAGCAAGGACTTGGGCCCAGCCCCTAACAATCCCCCTTTCCCCTTTTTTTAATGCACTTGTGCTTTATTCCTAACGGCTCCCTCCTCCCTGCCTCCCACCCTAGTGAGAAGGCATCCTGTCTTTATAAAGTTATCAGACTGAAGAACTCTGTTGCAAAATGAACAGAAAGCTGCAACAATAAATGTTAAATTTCCCCAGTTTAGGAAGTTGCTCCTAAAACTCATCTTCCTGGATGTGGGAAGAAAGGTGTCAGTAATTAACATTTAAGACCTTGCAGTGCTCTCTTTCCCCATCCCACCCCCACTTTCTATCAGGAAAGGACCCACAGTATTTTGCTGTTGTACATCAAAGTGAAACTAGTCAAGATTTTCTGCTGCTGGATGACACTTCTAAACTTTAGTCCTCTCTTTAAAGAAAGTAGTGAAGCACTTGTTTCTGTGGAAGAGATGTAATGAATATTCAGCTGATGCAGGATAACTGCAACTCAAGAGAATGCTGGGCACTTAATGAGCAGCTTTGTCTAGCTGAGAAAATAAACACTTCCTAGGACCAAGGGCTAAGTCCCTCAGCCTTGACTACTGCCTTTAACAGTGACAGTCTGTCTCAAGCTCTAGACTGCAACTCAAGAGAATGCTGGGCACTTAATGAGCAGCTTTGTCTAGCTGAGAAAATAAACACTTCCTAGGACCAAGGGCTAAGTCTTGACTACTGCCTTTAACAGTGATAGTCTGTCTCAATTAAGCTCTAGCTGGAAGAACTCACTGAACTATTTCACTGAAGTGCTTTTCCTTTTTAATAAGCTGCTTGAACACTGCCACTAATTTTGAATTCCTCTTTTTACACTGGTTTGTATCATATCCTTGATGTTCAAAGCGTTACTGTGCACTTTTTTCCTAGAAGATTTTTCCAACCAATCTTGCCCATTTTAAGAGCCTTTACTATCACAGAGCACCTCTTACAGTTTGTATTAAGCCATTCCTTTCCCCCGGCCATCGGTCACTGGAGCA